CCCTGGCTGAGCCAGCCTCACCGAGAGGAGGTTGTGTGTGTGTGTGTGTGTGTGTGTGTGTGTGTCTGTCTGTCTGTCTGTCTGTTGGTGGCCCTGGCTGAGCCAGCCTCACCGAGAGGAGGTTGTGTGTGTGTGTGTGTGTGTGTGTGTGTGCTCACTGAGCCATTTATCCCTTCACCCTTCAATTAACCCCACATGCATTTATCGGCCAGCACGGCACAATAAACTACCTCAGGAGGTTATAGTTCCATCTTCCGATGACCAGAGATGTTCAATACTTGCCCAGTGTCGCATAGGCAGCCAGGGCACTGCCCCATCGGACCTTCACCATCTAAGGTATGTTTCTCAAGCTCCCCAGGGACACACCTTTGCTGCCTCTTGGGTCTCCCATGATGCAGCTGACAGTGCTACTGCTGTTTAGAGGAAACCTACCTGCCTATGTCTCCCCTATCCCAAGGAACACGGGGGTGGGGTACGATTTTTGCTGGGAGGACGGTCCCTGGTCTGAGACTGGGGGTGCCAACGATGCAGGGTTCCTCAGGCTCTCGAACTGATGTCTCACCCCAGTGACACATCCAGGCACACCTCCTGCTCCCCTGGGCCCACCAGTCGGGGATCCCAGTGCAAGCCCCCCGCCGTCCTGCCAGCCTCAGGGCCTTCCCCTTCTGGTTGAGGCAGGCAATGGCCTCCTTCCAGGGTGGGATGGGTGGGGAGCCGTGAGCACAGGCTGGCTGGCACCATACAGGTTCCTCGATAAATGACATTCCTCCTGAAACACCAAACAACACCTGGAAACAGGACACTCAGGCCTGGTTTCAGTGTGTGGCATGCATCCTCCCACTGAGTCCTCCCAGCAGTCCCTGAAGGCAGGCAGGATCTCCACGAGCCCACAAGGCAGCCGGGACTCAGAGAGGCGAAGGCCCTTAGTGTGAAGTCACCCAGCCTCCATGGCAGAGCTAATCATCGGCCACAGGCCGGCCACACGGGGTGGGCCAGCGCCCATCGCGGGGGAGAGGGGGGAAGGGCTGTCTCCAGCATGCGCATGGTCTGTGTGGCCTTCGGGCCTGGTGGGGGTGGGGGTGAGCAGGTTGGCTGGGTCAGAGCTGGCTGCCGGGTGCTGGAGGGCTGCCAGCATGCTGAGCAGGCAGGTCTGAGTCACTGACCTAACCGGCCGGCCGGGTCCTCCACCTGAGGAATGTGCGGGATGGGCCACATTGCTCCCAGTTCCGGCTAGTGCACCAGCTCTCCAGGAAGCCGGCTTCCTCTAAGAGGCCCAAGTGCAGGTCACTCTCTCTCCTTGCTTTCTGTGGGAGCCCTGCCCCTGAGTGGTCACAGCGAACTAGGTGTCCCGTTTTGAACTGGGAGTTTATTCACTCTTGATTGAACGTATGCACTCACCCAAGTGCTATTTATATGTTTATTCATTGACTTGTCCACTCATTCACCGAATGGCTCTCGAATTTATTCACTCACACATGCTCATTCTACTCACTCTTCCACCCATCCACCCATCCATCCATCCATCCATCCATCCATCCATCCATCCATCCATCCATCCATCCATCCATCCATCCATCCCATCCATCCATGCATTCACCCATTCATCCATCCATCCACCCCTTCACCCATCTACCCACCCACCCACTCATCACCCATCCGCTCACCCATTCATCCTCTTGGCCAGTTGTCCTGTCTTCCTCTCATCTACCATTTTCTTACACACACCTTTCAGCCACACAGCCTTTATGAAGTACCCGGTGTGTTTTCACACAAAACTCCAACGGGATTTTTTCACTCCCGTATGCTCCTAACCCACGCCGCTTAGGGAGGGCGGACCAGAGCTCTTCAGCCTTCCACAGCATGGTTCCAGTCTTCTCCACAGTGGGAGGCTCAGGGGAAGTGGACGGCCGGTCAAAACCAGCAATGGCTGCCTGAGCCATGGGTCTCCAGAGAGGACCCTCTGTCTCAGGCCTCTCCCACTCTCAAGGCAGGGGTTATGGACAGTCTAAAGCAGTGTGGCTCTGGGGGTGGGGGGTTGATAGTTCCAGTGTCTTGGCCCCCACCTTTTGTCTTCCCCGGGCCAGAGGACAGCTCCAGAACGGGGTGACCAATGGATCTGGGCCAGCTCCTTGGGGTGCACCACGTGGCCTCTCGTTTTAGTGGAAAGACATATGTCACCTGAGGGGGCCACCAACACCTGGGGCCTTGAATGTGGGCCAGGGGAGTCTATGGAGGACATGACCTTCCAGGAGGGACTCTGGGCCCACAGTGGGTCTGGGAAGGAGACCACACAGCAGAGTGGTGGGGAGGGATGGTCTTTGAATGTCTCCACATGCCCCACTTTCCACCTCACAAGCACCATTCTCTACACCAGCACCTCCCACCCCTCCATTTCCGGTTTCCACCCGATCCCCATCCGGCCCCCAGTTCTCATCTTGATTGAGATGCTGCCACCTCTGGGAAGTCCTCCTGGAGTCACAGTCATGTTCTTCTCTCAGACCCCAAGGTAATTGCCCCAGCAGGGCCTCAGTCAACACCTGTGGAATAAATCAGTGAGTCCCCGGTTCACGGGAGAGGGCTATGCAGTGCTCCCTAAGCCTCCCCTTCCCCAAACGCTCACCCGCTGGCTCCTGCGCCTTCAGATAGGTCAATTCCAAGGGGAGCTTTCTTGATCCCGAGCCCTGCCCCCTTAGCTCAGCACCACCCCCCACTGCCCTTTACACAACCCTGGCCCAGGGCTCCCTCTGTGTGTCCCTGCCTCTGGGTAAGCGGGGCATGTCACCTCCACACTTTCACAGAGGAGGGGGAGAAATGTGGGGAAGCAAGCGACCTGCTCAAGGCCACACAGGGGGCTGCAAGGTCAGGGCCAAGACCTCGCCATGACTGCTTTTTCTCCCCCACACCAGCAAGGCGCCAGATGAATTCAGTTTTATTTTAGTCAGACAGGCTGCAGGTGGTGACGGTGCCAATGCAGACACTGCTGTTGGCCTCTCTGACATAAAAGGGTGCTGCTTCCGCTTCACCATTCAGGTGCCAGCGACCGGGCAG